AAACCCAGATCTTCACAACTGGGTCAACAGGTAACGCCTCGATAAATGGAGAAAAGATTGAAGTTGTCAAAGATTTTGTCTTGCTTGGATCCACAGCCAATGCTCTTGGAAGCAGTAATCAAGAGATCACACGACATATTACACTGGGTGACTCGGCTCCACTAAACCTCTCGAAAGTGTTGACAAGTAAAGCTGTGTCTTCGATGACTAAGGGGCATCTGGCCCGGCTGTGGGGTTTTCAGTTCGCTCGTATGCCTGTGAAAGACGGGCGACGAAGGAGGAGCTAAAGAAGAACTGAGGCACTTGAACGATGGTGGAAGGATCTTGGCAGTACCTGGAGAGAAGACAGATCTGGCTTGGAGGATGTATAGTCAGGAGACTCCTTAGACGCAGGAGGGCGCGGCTTCATCTCATGTACTTTGGGCATGTGATCAGGGGCGAGTGGCCTGTGGAGAAGGGCATGTGCTTGGTAAAGCACTCTGCTTGGCAGTGAAAAAGAGGAAGGTCCATGGCAAGATGGATCGACACAGTGGCTGCTACAAGGGGCTCAAACGACAGAAAAGTTGTGAGGACGGCGCAGGCCTGGGTGGCATTTTGTTTTGTTGTACACAGGGGCACTAGGAGTGAGAACCAACCGATGGCACCTTACAACACCATCAACAACGGGTGACCTCGGGTGACCCAGGGCCGAGAAGCAGAGCCCTGGAGAACCAGAGTGTGAAGATCCCTAGATACAGAAAGCCCTAGAAAACATACACGCATCTATGGGCATGCAGCCTACAGTGGACAACAGAAATTAAGCAGGACGAGTCACCCGATCTGTGGCATCTTCTTCTGGCTGCTGGGGTCCATTTGGGTGACAGAAAGTGGAGAGTACTGGGGCGCCTGCTCTGTGCTGGATTCTCCTCGGAGCCAGCACTGTGTGGGAGCTAGGCCGTTCTGCCTACGGTATTCTTCAGCCCCCATTGGTGCTGTGTGTGAGTGCATGTTCATGTGTGTGTGTGGGGGTGGGGTGGGGTGGACTGACCTTGGCTTTTTGCTGCAGGCAAAGCAGAGATAAGATCTCGATGAGGAGAGTCTCCCTCTTTGGGGAGTTAGCAGCATCTCCTGCCGAGCACACTAGACCCCGAGGGGAAGGAGCAGAGAGGTAGGGGAGGGGTACGTGTTCGCAGACAGAATCTCTTAAGGGGAAGAAAGGCTTGGAAGGACATGATGTAGTTTAGGAAAAGTGAGTTCTCCACCCCGCAAGATGATCACAGAATAAGGCAGACTGCTTTTCAAGAGCACGCACATCGCAGATCGCAGGGCGAGAGAACATGAATCATTCTGAACTAACTCAGTTAGGACAGCAGAGTGATGCATACATTCCGAGACAAATTTTCCTCTCACGGCTGGCATCTGATGGATTGGCCTTTCAGCTGCACAGTTCAGGAAAGCCCGTCATCCATCATCCCTTTGGGAGGGAGGCGACAAGTGGATGGTGCAGGGAAGCTTCTGTTCTGGCTCCAAGATGCTCTGATGAAAGAGGTTCCAACGCTTCAGTCGTTCACTCTCCCTCCGCAAGGACGCTCAATGTAACTCAGCCCCGCGCAATGGCTGCGATGATCAAGGTGTGGAGACAGCTTGATCGAGAAGGAAACTCTCTTGGCTGCACAGCAGTTATCACCAGAGAATGAAGACGGCTTTCCTCCCCACCCCAGGATGCAGCTAGCGCCCTCCTCCCTAGTTTGGGGAGAGAGTCAACACCTCTGACTTTGAGAGACCTTGAAGCACAGAGTGAGGGTTCTGCGGGTGACAAGAGTGGACTTGTGGGAGTGGGAGGGGAGGGCTCTTGAGTAAGCAAATCTGCTCCTATTTCCTTATTAGCATGGATTTCCGCACTTCTCTCTGCAGCCCTTGGCGGCTGAGTTTGTCCGAGAGCCAGTAGGTGCTGGGAGTGCCTTCATATAAATCCCATGGGCATGGGCGGTGGGATCAATGGCAGCCATGATGAACAGCAAACTGGAACATCTTCCAAGGTTCCTGGCTGATGTGATGGGTGGAGGATCCCTAAGGAAGGCTGCCGTTGAGCTGGTCCCTGCCTGGTGGTAGCCTCATGGGTGACTGAGTAGAACTGCTCTATAGGGTCCTCTTGGCTGTCATGTTTATTCATGGAGTGGCTGGGTGGGTCCAAGTCATCACCCTTTGGGTTAGCAGCTGACTGTAAACTGCTTGCGTCACCCCAGCCACCTCTCCAAGCTACTAATTACTCACCCCTCCCATCGAGTCCATTCGACTCACGGCAACCCTGCTTTGGCTTTCCACGATGGTCAATCTGTATGGAAGCAGACAACTTCTCTCTGCCCTGAAGAGCAGCCTACCTTGCATTTAACAGCCCGCCGCTCACCTGCAGTGCCACCAGGGCTCCAAGTTACGACACTCAATGAATCCACATTTCATTTATGCTGGGGTGCCTATGTGACCTAAACAGTCAATGAACTTGGCAGCTACCTAAATACCAGGTATCTAGAGGCCCTTATTCTTCTTTAGAAATACTTGGTTGGTGCTGAGAAGTACTGTCACTTTAAGTGAAGCTACCCTATCCACTTCACCCCTGTCACCAGCATTCTCTTTACTGTTGTCTTATCCTCTTCGTTCTGCCTGCTAGGCCTACGTCAGCAAATGAATTTGGGCTCCTTACCCTAGATCCTTAGTGCTCAAAGTGACAT